TAGTTTAGTTTATGTTCGTTTTTGGTTTGGTTTAGTTTTTAGTTTATTATGTTTAGTTTAGTTTTTAGTTTAGTTTAGTTTAGTTCAGTTTTTAGTTAAATTAGTGTAATTTTAAATGTAGTTTAGTTCAGTTTTTAGTTAGATTAGTTTAGTTTATGTTCGTTTTTGGTTTGGTTTAGTTTTTAGTTTATTATGTTTAGTTTAGTTTTTAGTTTAGTTTAGTTTAGTTCAGTTTTTAGTTAAATTAGTGTAATTTTAAATGTAGTTTCGTTCAGTTTTTAGTTAGATTGGTTTAGTCTAGTTTTCAGTTTATTGTAGGTTTAAGTTTAGTTTAGTTTAGTTTTTGGTTTATTTTAGTTTTTAGTTTGGTTTAGTTTAGTTTTTAGTTCAGATGTTAGATTAGTTTAGTTTAGGTTTTAGTTTATTTTAGTTTAGTTTAGGTTTTAGTTTATTTTAGTTTAGTTTTTAGTTCAGTTTTTAGTTTAGTTTAGTTCAGTTTTTAGTTAGATTAGTTTAGTTTTTAGTTCAGTTTTTAGTTAGATTAGTTTATTTTAGTTTTTAGTTTAGTTTACTTTAGATGTTAGTTAAATTAGTTTAGTTTTATTTATTTTTCATTTTAGTTGGTATTAGTTTAGTTTAGATTAGTTTAGTTTAGTTTAATGTTTAGTTTTATTTATTTTTCATTTTNTTTTTAGTTAGTTTTTCTTGAGTAAATGAAAGGCTGTGAAAAAATAAGTATAAAATCTAAATAGTGAAGAAAAGACTAAGAAAGTAATCAGTCAGAAGGGGCCAAATCCCTAGACTAACTAATCAGAGGAGCAAAGACCCAACTGGACTACCGCCATCTTAAAATGGCTTCAGACTTGTAAACATGGTAGTGACTGACAGTATGGACCTGTTTCCAACCTCTGAACTGTGGCCTAGTTTACACTGGATGGTTATTTACTCAGAGGTCAATGATTGTTGACTAGAGGAAGGAAGCAGTGAGCCTCTCATCCTCTGGGAAACTGGTCAGAGTACCGCTGCTACAAGCTAAAATAATATTTCATAGCAAACACCTTTACAGGCCGTGGCTCAGTGGAAGAGACCATCAGTCCATCAGACCAGGTTCTGATGCAGGGAGGGGAGGAGAGTAGGAGCCTGTAGCAGCAGACATCCCACTCAATTTATCTTAAAGAAAATATCACTTCATATTTTCCACACATTCTGTTT